TGTGGCACACCGTAGACAAGAGAAGTGGAAGAAGACAGCTTAGCTTAAACAATGGAAGAGAGTTAGCCTGGTTTCATCCACTCATATGTCACATTAATGAACATTTTAGATTTTAATGTCTTTACACAATAGGAAGTTTAAAACCATAGTTTGTGGCTTGAGAGGACTCTTTACACTGAAGCTATTCATTATGAACAGTCAGGTTGCGCGGTCTGGTACCACTGTGCCAAAAAATGTTATATAGCCAGGAGCGCTACATACAAGCTAAGCACGTCCTGACAGCTCTGAGCAATTTTCTCTGTGTAGTTCTAAAAAGCTTTACTCATGTAATTGAAAACCTCGTGTAAGTCTAGATCATACTTTACAGAATTCAAGTACCATTCATGTTAAAGTTCCCCACTTAGCACCGTACAAAGTGTAGCAACACATGGACACACATTTGTGTCTTCTTTTAGAGTACTTTCAGTTAATAGGGCCAAGAGTATTTTTGTCCCTTTTTACACCCATGGTAACAACCAAATTCAGGTGTTTAACACTTCTGCACTGTTAGCGCTGCGTGGCAGATTCTGTGATGATTGGACAGTCAGGCCAGCTCGCTGCTTGTTTTCAGCAGTTATGCCTCTCTGCAGATGTTGCTGTAGTCCAGTGGGTACTTAAGCTGGAGATGTTTAAGTGTGTGGTTGCAGATGTTTCTGTTTTCGCAGTGGTTGCTTTACTTGTTGCTTTTGCCATTTATAGTTGTGCGTCTTGCAGTAGTCGCAGTAAGTACTTTAGTTGCAGATGTTGCTCTGTTTGCCTGAAGAGGGTTCATGCATTTAGTTGCAGGTGATGACGTTGCTGTATTTAGGTGCAGATATTGCTGTAGCTGCAATGGGCAGTTTAGTGGCAGATGTTTCCTGGTAGTTTACTAGTTGGTTTCATTGCTGTGGTCGCAGTGGCGCGGTGGTTAGCACATTTGCCTTACACATTAACGCTTCCTGGCTCCTCCCTGGGAGGAGACACAGCGCCAGCCTCATGGGGTACTCAGTGTGCTCCCAGGGCCGCTCCCATGGATAATTGCGAGGGTTGCGTCAGGAGGAGCATCCGGTGTAAAATCTGTGCCAGGGCAAACATTGCTATAGTGACCTCTCGGGATGTAAGAACGCATCCGAAAGAAAGTTTCAGTGATTGGGTTAGTCAGAGTAATTACTGTGTATAGTTGTGTAATCTAGTGGGTAGGTTATTGACAGACGTTTCTGTAGTTTGCTAGTTGGTTTAATTGCTGCAGTTTCTTTAGTTTCAGTGGTCAGTTTCGTGTCAGTAGTTACTGTGTGCAGTTGGAGGTGATGCTACAGTTTTTCTGGAAATGTTGCTGCATTCAGAAGACGTCCAAAGCTTTGCTTGCCAGAGGCTGTTGCTTCATACCAACCCCAGACAGCTGTGCATTTCCATAATATGTCACAGTAATCTCATTCACCGCAGAAGCAACATTGAGATTTGATGCAAAGCCAGTGTTGGTCCATATGATTTATGAAGCGTTTCAGTCTTCTTGATATTTTGGGGATTTTTGGTTTTATTTTGTGGGTTATCACACTGGGTGGTTTTATCTAAAAGGAAAGGAAGGAGATTTTACCGCAGTGTTTTGTTAGCAAGCCTGAGGGTAGAAGCACACCTCCCCGCTAAAGAGACAACTGAAGATATCTGATTAAAAGGGGGATGCAAGGCTGGTGGTCTCACTTTGCTACTGTACATCCTGTGTGTGCGTATGTGTGTGTGTAACACCTCTATTCATTTCCTGCAGGATTGATGGATTTCCTTGGCAGTTTGGAGAGGAAAGGGTTCGAGGTGTCTTTCGGGATGCAGCGAAGATCTGGAGTGACGTCACTCCGCTCACCTTTACCGAGGTCCGTAACGGACACGCTGACATTCGCATCGACTTCAGAAGGTGGGAAGAATTGCTGAAAATATTAAAAAGATCAGGAGCAAATGTCAAATTACACCATGTTGTGAATTATATTTAATTAGGCCTAAATATAAAACGTGAGCATCGTTACACCTGAGAAATACAGCTGCACAAATCATGGTTAATAGACATTGCTTTAAAATGGCACTCAAAGGACACATTGTCTCCTTTTCTTTAATATCTGTTGCCTTGATTCCGGTGAGGGGGAGTAAAGCAAAAAAAAAAGAGAAGCAGAGGAGTTGAAAATGTGTAATTTGGTAAAGAAGAGTCTGTGTGTTTTTTTCTTGCTGCCCCAAAATGCACAAAGACCCAACTAATCATTGTGCAGCAACAGCATCCAAGCTGTGCTAGCTTCAAAGGCAGGGGGCACCCGGACTTGAACCGGAGACCTCTTGATCTGCAGTCAAATGCTCTACCGCTGAGCTATACCCCCACATGCCAGCTCTTCGCAGAACTGACTTATATTTGCTTTCTTTGTAATGTCCAGCAGGTCACCTCTGTATGCAAAAAGCTAGTATAGAAGTCTATGATAAAACCTTTGCTTTGTAATTGCAGTAAACACTCTACTGCTGACTTTGTGTTCTCACTAGTTCAGGTTAATACAAGATGTTTATTTCATGAATTATGTTCCCGTGCTTTCATTTATTGGTTGATGAATGAAAACAATTTCTCAACATATCGGTAAATACCTAATATTAACCGATAATGTTGCCAGTTAACCTAATTAGCTGTAAACTGTTCCTCCATTTTTCTTGCTTTAGCACTTACTTTTGCCACCTTTTATTGCCGCCGTCCCAACTTTTTGAGACACGTTGGTGCCATCAAAATCAAAATAAGATAATGCTGTCTCAGTTTAAACATTTTCTGAGTTCTATTGTGAATAAAATGAGATTACATTTACATTTTTAGAGTTGGAGTTGTAGTTGTGAGTTAGATCCAGCATAGATCATTTTGAACTAAAGACAAAGATCTTTGCTACAGAGGGATTTCCAGAATCACAAAGACGAAAACACAAGATTACAGAGCAAGAAAAGACGAGCAGATTATACCAGAGATATAAAACTGGACTTTTGTGGGGGATCTGTGTCATCCTTGGAATTACGTAAATTCTTTTGTGAAGCTTTGATTGGTTATCAGTGGAGCGATTTTTATGTTTTTCCTCTTTTGAACCAGGCTGTGTTTTTGCTTTTGAATTGCTTTTATCCACTCTTATAGAACCAACTACAGATGAATGATAAGATAAAGGAAAAACCAGCATTAAATGCCCCAGTAACCTTTACGGCCACCAGGTGCTCGATTATTCAGGTCCGTGAGCACTTCTGGAGGGTTGATTACCTTTCTTCCCAAATATATTCTCTTATTTTTTCTTGCGTTAGTAGTGATGGAGAGTGAGGTCACACATTAATCCAAGATGTCCCATTGTTGTTCATTCATGACTACAAAGACCAAAACATA